AATCAACTCGTAGTTTAAGTACAGTTGTATCTACCAATGTATGTTGGAATAAATGTTCTTTGGAGTTTCAAGAAATGCTGAGTTTTCCAGGTACATTCAGGGTTTTCAAGATACAAAGGCACACTTGTCAGGAGACAGTGACAATACCACCTCTCCCTCTAAATGTCTTTTAAGTTCTTTCCTTTTTAACAGCCTGAATATGAGACTGGATTTGGACACTATTCATTTCCTTCCGCTCCGTATTACTGTGGCATGGACTTTCAGTACTGAACGTGATGCAGGATGATTCTCATCTTGTCTGGAATGGAGGAAGACAAGACTCCAGTTCTTCACCACTGAGTGTATAATGTGGTCGTATCACACACACACACATTTACCATGCTGAAGTACAAAAAGAGCCAAGTGCCTCTTGGGCTAGTGATTACAGAGGATTTATCCTCTATGAAGCCTTAATCAACTTACAGCATCTACTTCCCTAACTTAGTATCTTCTGTGGCAATGAAACACACTCATTGATTAAAAATACTGTTTCCGAGGCTGGGAAGGTGGCTCAGTGGTAGAGCGCTTGCCTTGCATGCATGAGGCCCTGGGTTCCATTCCTCAGCAGCACCACGTAACCAGAAGTGGCCCTGCAGCTCAAGTGGTAGAGCACTCGCCTTGAGCTGAAGAGCTCAGGGACAGCGCCCAGGCCGAGTTCAGGCCCCAGGACCAGCAAAAATAAATAAATAAATATTTTCCACCTTTACTTTGGTGTTTCCGTGACTGCCCAGAAATATACTTGGTTGGGATCTGGATTCCGTGAGTCAGCATCTAACCACCTCAGCAGTGACAGAGCAAGAAAATGAACTTGAAACTTTTCTCTGGTGCTTCACTTGTTCTTCATTTTTATGCATTTCTCTTTAAACTCCTGATTCAAAAGCGCTTCTGTTTTTAGGGCCTATCTTTGATAGTGTATTCTAACATTTCTTGCTAATGCTAACAAAGGAATTATCCAGAGATACGCCGACCTAAAAAGTGATTTTACTTCCTATCCCTCTGCATTTGTGACCATTAAGGAGCTGTCTTGTGAACTGGGTTACGAGACAGTCCTTATCACAGGAACACAACACGTGGAGAAGAAAAATGGGCTCTGTTGTATACATGCAACATACATGACAGCATGGCATCATGCCTGGCAGTCAGCAAGGCAGGAAGGGAGCCACCTCTCCTGAGGACCAGTGGGGCATGACAGGGCCAAAGCCACAGAGCCTGGCCTCATTCTAGGTCACTGAGAACAGTAAGCGTGACTACTGACGTGACAATGTGCATGCTAGAACCACTGAGATGTGAAGGTGCCTTTTAAGTTCCTAGTGCAGTTCCTGTTCCTAAGCAGTTAGCTTTCTCCCAATGTCTAGAGCTACAAAACACATGAACAGGAGACAAAGGCCAAGAATTGATCATGGAGATGTCTGTTCTCATAGTGCACCAGTGAATCAATACCAACAAGGACAGAATTCCACCTAGTACATAAAACCAATGTTCAATTTTATCAAGCTCACTGGTCTGCTTTTCCATTACCTCTTATCAAATTAAACGTGAGGAAGGAGGGGATGGTAGGGGGAAAACAATGGAGGGGGTAACAATGTTCAAGAGGAAGTGTACTCATTACCTCACTCATGTAACTGTAACCCTCTGTATAGTAGCTTTACAATAAAATAAAATAAAATAAAAAAAAACAAAGGAGGGGGTAATTATGGTCGATAGGAAATGTACTCATTACCTTAGTCATGTAACTGTAACCCCTCTGTACAGTATCTTTACAATAAAAAATATTTAAAAAATTTAAAAAAAAAAATTAAACGTGATACAACTTGTTACTCCTGTGTAAAATTCAAATAACTGACAAACCGTAAAATTACTCCATTAAATTATGTAACTCAGTAGTCCTTAAAATACACCTAATATACATGATTGTATAACCATTGCACTACTAATCTAATTCCATAATACTTTTAGTTGTTCTAAAACAAATGCCACATTTGTAATAGCTAAACTATACAATCAGTGTCAGTGCCCAACAACTGAGTAGATAAGGAAAATGTAGCATATATACACAATGGAGTATTATTCAGCAATAAAGAGTGAAATTATGTCATCTGGAAGGAACTGGAGGTTATCACGTTCAGCAAGATAAGCTAAATCAGACAGAAAAGAATCCCATGTTTTTACTCATGTAAAGAATCCAGACCTCCAAAAACTAATAGTAATGTGATGTGGTTGTCCAAAAGAGAACGTTTTTCAAGGAACCAGTAGGAGAAGAGTGGGAAAGGAGAGAGTGAGAGAAGGTAAATATTTCAGACATTTCAGTTCAGGATAAATCAAATGTGTATGAAAATAGTGTAATAAAACCCACCAAAAAAAATTTTTTTTGGGTCGGTCATGGGGCTTGAACTCTGGGCTTGGGCGTTGTTCAAAAACTTTTAAAAGGGAGAAGGATGGAGAAAGTGGGGGCCAAGAAAGAGGAATAGAAGGGGTAATTTTAATCAGAGTACATTACATGGCTGTATGTACGTATCACAATGAATCCCCTGTTCAATTAACTTGAGGTAATGAATAAAAGATAAACTATATTCATTAGCAGTAACTCCCTATCCTCCCATTTGTATTCCCTAATAACCACTAATACACTTTATTTCTTGACGCATTTGCCAATTCTAAACATTTCATAAACATGGAACCACCAACTATATTAGCTTCTGGGTACCTTCTTTCATTTAGCACAGTATTTTCAAGGTTTACCCAGGCTGTAACATCAGTTCAATACTCATTCCACAGTTACATTCCACCGAATATAACGTGAGAGAAATATATAAAAATCAATAACTTTTATCATGGAAAGTTTGTCCTATGGTCTCAATGTTGGTAGCTCCCACAAAATTGGTACCTTAAAACCCAGTATGAAAATATTAAGAGGCAGAATCTTTTGAGAAGTGATTAAAGTCATGAGAATTCTGCCATGATGAAGGGAACTACTGTCTGCTTTTAAGACCGAAAGGAGCTGCTCCGCTCTTTCTGCCAAGTGAGAATAAGAAGTTCATCCTTTGAAGTAAACAGCAAGGCCTCACTAGACACAAAACCTGCTAGTACCTTTATTTTGTACTCTCTGCCTGCAAATAAAACTTCTGTTGTTATCAATCACTCAGCCTAAAAGTAAGTAAGTATAGCTCAAATGGACACAAAAATCTAAGACACAGAAATGAGGTTATTTTCAACAACTATAATACTTATGTAAAAATTTTGAAGAAATTTAGCAAGTTCAGATTCATATGAAAAACAATATATTCTTTTCTGTTATTTGGTGGCACTGGAGTCTGAACTCGGGGCCTCCGGATTATTAGGTAGACAACTTTACCAATTGAGTCATGCCCCCAACACACACATCTTTTCCCTTGACAGTTATTTTTCCATAGGGACTCAAGTTTTTGCCCAGGCCATCTTGAGACCAGGATCCTCCTCCCTGTAACCTCCCCGACAGATGGGACTGTACCACCATGCCCAGCTTCTTGCTGCTGGGCCTCAGTTAACTTTCTATTCAGATTAGTCTCTGAAATCTTCCCAATCTTTACCTTCCAAGTAGCTGAGATTACAGGTTTGAGTCACTGAGCCAGCCTATTTATTATTAAAAGGCACAAATACTACTATATATTTAAAAATAAACTCACTATGCACCAGTAGCTCACACCTATAATCTTAACTATACAGAGGCAGCGATGTGAGGATCACAGTTCAAAATTAGCCCAGGCCAAAAGTCCATGAATTTTTTTTTCCAAATTCATCAACAAAAAAAAATCCAGAAGTAGAGCTGTGACTTGTGGTAGAGCACTTGCTGTGAACAATATATCTCAGGAACAATTCCCAGGCCTTGAGTTCAAGCCTCAGAACCAGCAAAAAAAAAAGGCAAGTGTTGATTGCTGTTCATTAGTTTCATCTAATCTAAATTATGATCACGTTAGTAGAATTTTGTAAATTTTTAAAGGAAGAATTTTCAAATTTATATATAGAAACAAATGGTACAGAACAAAAGCAAAAACATGTACTTCATAAAATAGCAAAAGTGAGTATATTAGGCAAAACAGTACTTAAGAAGGGAGATTCAATAAATATGAAATTTTAAGAAAAAAAGGGAGCAATCACTCAAGCCAACAGAAAATGGTTTAATCTTTTTTAAGAGCTGATAGTCTAAAACAAGAATGCTTTGTTATTCAACATACTAAACTCAACATGAAGATAAATTGCAAAAAAAATCACTATCAGGTAGAAAATAATTTGGGAAACATTTACAACTCCAAACTGTAAACTATAAAGAAATTCACATTTATAGACCTGAGGATCGCAGTTCAAAGCCAGCCCAGGCAGGAAAGGCCAGGAGACTCATCTCCAATTAACCACCAGAAAACTAGAAGTGGCTCTGTGGCTCAAGTGGTAGAATGCTCATCTTCAGCTGAAGAGCTCAGAGACAGTGCTCAGGCCCACAGTTCAAGCCCCATGACTGACAGAAATAACTAAATAAAATAACAGTTCTATCTTTAGAAAAAGGGAAAATGCTTGTAACATGAAAAACAAAGTTTGTTTTTAAACACATAGAAGTTTGTGTAATTTGAAAAGCAATGAAAGTAAAATTTATGTAAATGTTATCAAGTAACAACTGAGAAAATAAAACCAAATGTCTAATACCCAAGGAAGTTCAAATTAAAAAGTAATAGTGAGCTGGGAACAGGTGATTTAGAACTGTAATCCTAGATCTCAGTTATAAGCTAGCCCAGGCAGAAATGTTGAGGATCCTCTGCATCCAATTAACTAGCAAAAAGCCAAGCTAGAGACATGGCTCAAGTGGTCGAACACTAGCTGAGAGGGAATAAGGAAGCCTAGCCAAGGTGAGGCTTAGCTAAGCAGAGGGCAAGCTCTGGTATTGGGGGTGGGGTTTGGGGTGGGGGGAATAAGTAACAATGATAAAATGTTACCTTACTGGCCTGGCAAACTTTTGAAAGAGTAATAACCCTACTGCTGGCAGGTATGTAGGAGAAAGAATTTTCACATGTTCTTGGTGGAGCACTTCTGGCAAGCAATTTGGCAACATCGACTGAAATAAAAAAATATAAAATCCCTTTAACCCAACAATTTTACTCCTGAAAATCTAGACCACAGAAATAAAAGCATCATGAAATAATGACACATATTCAAAGATGTCACATTAAAATGACCAAGAACAAGTAAGAGATAATATTCCCATTAATATAAGAATGGCTAAGTTTTATATAACACAATATGAAACATTCATTATAGAGCTATGCAAAGAATAACAAGTTATAATTTAGACAGAGCAATTCCTTCCAAGATATTATTAGTAAAAAGACAAGTTAAAAAAAGTATGCATTAAAAAAAAATATGTGTTAACAATCCTTTTTTTTTTTTTAAGTTGTAGCCACAAAAATCTTAACACAAAGTGTGAAAGATTACATAAGCAATGGGAAAAACACAGAGTAATAGATAGATCTAATTACACAAACCCAGGCAGGAGGGAAAAGTAATTCCGATGCAGCAGTCCAACAAAAGCTGTCTTTACTATCAGAGTGGTTTGCTTCCTTTCTGTCAGTCTTGGGAGACTTGCTTTTGAAAAGTCCCTGCTTTGGCCAGGTAGCTTGGCACTTCTTGTTTACATTTTAATTACATCCTTTTCCTGCTAAGACATCTTAGCTCACTGAAGTAAAATTCTATTAATTAAGCCGCATCTTTCTGCAGATTGTGAACCTGAGCTCAGCCAATATGAGCAGAGGTTCAGGGCCTTACTAGGTTAGGGATAAAAAGGGAGCAGCCTGCCTGTTCTGTGTGCTTGCTTGCCAAATTCTTGGCTGATGGCTGCACCCATCTGCAGAAGCCAACTTTTTCCTGGCCATGTTAGTATCCAGTATCCTTATTCCTATGTGACACCCCAACATCCCAAGGCATAGCTAACTGTAGGATCTTCAGACTACCTTATCTATAGCTTTTTTTTTTCTCAGTCATTTAGAGGTGGAACAATGAAGCACCCTATAGTTTAGAAAAGTTAAATTTTAAAAATGGGCTGGGAAGGTGGCTCAGTGGTAGAGCATTTGCCTTGCATGCATGAGGCCCTGGGTTCGATTCCTCAGCACCATATAAACAAAAAGAAAAAAGCCGGAAGTGGTGCTGAGGCTCAAGTGGTAGAGCGCTAGCCTTGAGCTGAAGAGCTGAGGGACAGCGCCCAGGCCCAGAGTTCAGGCCCCAGAACTGGACCCAAAAAAAAAAATTTTTTAAAAATGGAAGGAAGCCAATAACTGATGTTCTATTGAGTGGGTTACCAGTTGTGCTGGAAAACTTTGGGGTCAGTGTGAAGAATGGGCCCAGAGCTAGATAAAGGGCTGAGAGATCTTATGTGTTTACACACCCACCCCTGTCCTTCTCTGCTTGTGATTTGTAGCTTCTGCAGCAGGATGAGAACAAAGAGGTATCAAGAGCCCAGCACTTGTGGCTTAACACTGTTGAGACAGTGTCATCCAACAGCCAAAGGTCCTCAGACAGATGGAGTCACAAATCCTGCCTTACAGCCAGGAGACCGAGAGTTTACGGACAGGACAATAAAAGGATTTGCTACATACTTCTTGGTCACTGTGATGGCTTTCTTTGTCTACTAGTTACCTTTATTTTGGGGGTTTATTACTGGGGTTTCAACACAAGGCCTCATGCATGCATGTTTTTATTAAATAAGCCATACCCCTAGTCCTTATTGCTTAGATTCTTTTTGAGATAAGTTCTGCTTAAAACAGCCTGTACTATGATCCACCTATTGGTTTCCTCATTAGAGCTAGAATGACAAGAAAACATCATCACACCCAGCTACTGAGAAGAGGTCTTGCAAACTGTTGGGGCTGGCCCCAAACTCTAATCCTCCCAATCCCTACCGTCCTTGTAGCTAGGCTTGTGAGCATGAGAACCTCGGACCTAGGCTGGTGTTATTTACTAAAACAAACACATTGATAAGACTCAGGTGGCTTACTTCTATAATCTTTAACAAATCAGAAAGGTGAAATCCAGAGGACCAGAATTGAAAGACAGCAACATCACAAAGACCAGAGGCTATACTGCAAAATAACCAAAAAAAAGTGGGGCTGGAGGTGTGGCCCAAGTTGCAGAACACAGCCAACCGAAAAAGACCAGCAAGTTTGAGGCCCTGAGTTCAAACCCCAGTACTGCCTCTTAAAAAAAACGAAAGGCTAACGTTCAGTTTTAAAATGCTTCAAGTTTCAACGATACTCTAGCTGACTGAATTAAAAGGACTGTATGGCTGGCAAGGTAGCTCAGTGGTACAGGTAGCACTAGTACTGGGTTAAATCCTCAGCACCACACACAAAAATAAAAATTATGTATCACCATCCAAATAGAATTCTTGGAATATAAAATAGTCCAACACTCTAAATCAATAAAATACACCATGTGTTATTTCACCAGCATTAAAAGCACTAGACAGAATTCAACACCTTGCATGATTTTAAAAATAATCTCAATAAATACCATGAAGGCCTCTATGACAAACTGGTAGTTGCTATCATACACAATAAAGACTAAAAGTTCTTGCTCTGCAAGATGTGAAAGAAGGTAAGTAAGGCCACCTTTGCCATTTCTATTCAAGATTGTACTAAAATCCTATAGGCATGAACCACTCACACTAGGCCAGACGTGTGTGCGTGTGTGCACGCGCGCACGCGCGCATGTGTGTGTGTGTGTGCGTGCGTGCGTGCGTACGTGCGCGCGCGCGCACGTGTGCCAGTCCTAAGGCTTGAACTCAAGGTCTGGGCACTGTCCCTGAGCTCTTCTGCTCAAGGCTAATGCTCTTCCACCTGAGCCACAGTCCTATTTCTGGCTTTTTTGGCAGTTTAGTGGAGTCTCAAAGCCTTCCTGCCTAGGCTGGCTTTCAAACACGATCCTCAGATTTCAGCCTCCTGAGTAACTAGGATTATAGGCATGAGCCACTGGCACCTAGCTAGCCATCAAAATGTTTATAACACTCTAGGTTGTGTTCATTTGGTTGTTTTTTTGAGTTTTTTTGTTTTTTGTGGGGTTTTTTTTTGGTAATAAAGGGCCAGGGGAAGGGTGAGTAGTAGAGAAGAGTGGCCCTGAGATTTTAGGACTTCTATTTTGTGGGGTTTTTTTTTTGGGGGGGGGTCTGGTCTTGGGGCCTGAACTCTGGGCCTGGGCGCTGTCCCTCAGCTCTTCAGCTCAAGGCTAGTGCTCTACCACTTGAGCCACAGCGCCACTTCTGGCTTTTTTCTTTTTGCTTATGTGGTGCTGAGGAATCAAACCCAGGGCCTCATGCATGCAAGGCAAGCGCTCTACCACTGAGCCACCTTCCCAGCGGCCCTGAGATTTTAATTCAATTTGCAATCCTCCTACCTCCATTTTCGGAGTGTTGGAATTATAGGCATAAACTACCATCCCTGGCTTAACCCATTTTTTTTAACTGAAATACCTATTGTAACTATTGTATAAAACTCCCTTGCTGTCAAACGTTTAGCAATGATAAAACAAGTCCTTTTTATTTTGTTATTAAACATTTGTTAAAGAAAAAGAAACACTAGTTGGGCCAGTTGTCAATGTTTTCTAAAAATAACCTTGGTATGGTGTCATCAAACTTTAAAAGGTTAGTTTATTTCAAATTTCAAAATCGGGCATGTTAGTATTAGAAGATTCCCTTTTCCAGTTTTCTCTGCTTTCCAAACGCTCTATTTACAATCTTTCAAAGCAATAAATAAATAAATAAATGAGATGATAAGTATATCATTACATATACATCATTTGCAACTTACAGACCCATCTCAGAAGCAGTCTCCATTAGCAGCCATCATTATCAATATATAGGAAAGGAAACTAAGTAAAAAGGAAATAGGATCTGCCCTAAAACTGAGCAACAATGCCAAAACATTCTCCTGCCTCCTGATAGTTCTGATAGTTACCTTGTTAGATCAATTTCTAAAGACAAGTAATTGAAGCCAGGCACTAGTGGCTCATGTCTGTAACATTAGATACTCAGGAGAGGCTGAGATCTGAGAATCGCAGTTCGAAGCCAGCCCTAAACAGGAAAGTCTATGAGTCTCTTATCTCCAATAAATGGCTTAGAAAAAGCTGGAAATGGGCTGTGGCTCAAGTGGTAGAGTACTAGCTTTGAGCACAAAGAGGCTCAGGGACAGCACCCAGGTCTTCAGTTCAAGCCCCAGGATCAGCAAAATAAAAATAAATAAATACCATTAATGCCAGGTGCTGGTGGCTCCTGCCTGTAATCCTAGCTACTTAGGAGGTTGAGATCTGAGGATCACGGTTCAAAGCCAGCCAGGCAGGAAAGTCCCTGAGAGCTTAACTTCAAAACCACCAGAGGGGCTGGGAAGGTAGTTCAGTGGTAGAGCACTTGCCTTGCATGCATGAGGCCCTGGGTTCGATTCCTCAGCACCACATAAGCAAAAAGAAAAAAGCTGGAAGTGGTGCTGTGGCTCAAGTGGTAGAGCGCTAGCCTTGAGCTGAAGAGCTGAGGGACAGCACCCAGGCCCAGAGTTCAGGCCCCACGACTAGACTCAAAAAAATAAATAAATAAATAAATAAACCACCAGAAAACTGGAAGTGGCGCTGTGGTTCAAGTAGTAGAGCGCTCGCCTTAAGCTGAAGAGCTCAGGGACAGCGCTCAGGCCCAGAGTTCAAGCCCTAGGACCAGCAAAACAAAAAAAAAAGATTAGTAATTAATATCCCTCTTAAGACACTGGTTCCTATAACAACAGTTACACAGTGATTTTTCTTAAGGTAACACAGGAGTTTCTTTTTTCTCTCTTCTAGGAATTCTGTTTCATATCATTAAACAGTAAATAAGTTTCTAAATAATACATCTTTTATTTATTTTTTCTTTTTACTTTCCTGATATTTAGAAAAGCATGGAAAAGGAAATTACTCGCCAAGGACTGTAGTTTGCTATAAAATTGGGGTTCCTCTTTTTAAAAATCTGTTGTGCAGGAATAAAAAACGTTGGCAGAGATACTGTTCCCATGGAGACTCCTGAGCAAAGTATCTTATTGCTGAGCTTCT